AGCAGGGAGCCTGATGCGGGACTCGATCCCGGGACTCCAGGACCATGACCCGAGCCGAAGGCAGTCGCTTAACCAACTGAGCCACCCAGGCGCCCCTTGTGTCCAATTTCAAGATACATTTTTTAGTATTCATCTTCTGTCTGTTCTCTATACATTAGATATTTCTAAAATATAAAGAAGTTTGCTGCTCTTTTGATTATTAATAGATAATAGATATTTTATTTGATCTATTTTATCATGGATAAAAATGATCATAGCCTATTAGGTAACAGTTTTCAACACATAAAAACAACGACATTCCCAATAATTTCCAATATTAAAGCCAATATTTTAAGAAAAATAACTATATTAGTACAAACAGAATCTGAATATATCAAAATAATTCCCTTTCAACTATATAGTTTTATGTTAGATGTTCACCAGGAGTGTTAAATTTCTTCTAGCCTGGTTTTTGAAAAGAAAACCACATCATTCGTTTATCTTTTCTTTAAATGGGAATTCCAAAATTTCCTCTTCAGCCATACCTTTCTCAGCTTTTCAGGGCTGTGCAGATACTTTTAGGAATTGCAGTGACCCTGTTTTCTCTGAATATAATCCACTCAGTGCAAGATACTGGCATCTGGAAAATACATTACTATATATGCAATGTCAGCGCCTGTTCGTTTGCAGTAGGGGCTGATGAGTTCGGTCCTTTTTTTTTTTTTTTTTTTTAAGTAATCTTTATGCACAGAGTGGGGCTTGAACTCATGACCCAAGATCAAGAGTCTCATGCTTCACTGACTGAGTCGGCCAGGCGCCCTGAGTTCAGTCATCTTTAATCGCTATTAAATAGTTTGTTTCTGTCATTGACTTGAATGGTTTGAAGTAATATTTTTTTATCTTCTCCATTATTAGATCATTTTTGAAGCAGAACGCGGCAAGGGCAAAAGTGGAGAAATTGCAGTGGACGGTGTCTTGCTGCTCTCGGGCTTGTGTCCAGATGGCCTTTTATCTGCGAATGGCTGAATGTTACTATGGTCTTTTGTGTCTTTATATTTGGCTTCTTATGTCAGTTCCCTATTTTCTGATATTACATCATAGATTGCCCCACTTTAGAAATACAAACTGAAAAATCGTAATATACCAACAGAAACATTATTGTAAGGTGCGTTTCTTGTATAAGATGTGCCAATATTTGCTTTCAATATAGTACCACTCATTCATTTCTGAATTTATAAAATGTGGAAATGTGGAAAAAGCTCAGCTTTCCACCACCACCCCCCGCCTCAGTGTATTTGTGTATCTGATTTGTCTCTGTGAGTTGATGAACCTTTATATAACATTTTTAGAATTATAAAAAAACAAATAACAAGAACAAAAACCCCACAGGGAATTGTTTCTCTGTTTGACTTTTCTGGCACTTCTCGGAAACTGACATCACAGGTAGATTTTTATCTAAGTGGCTTAGCCTGATCTTTTATAGCCAAGCTTGTATATTTAAATTCTTTGTAATAATATTCAAATAATCACCTTTGTCATGGTTTAAGTTTTTCTAAGTAAGAAAATGTGTTGTTAATGCTCTGTTTCATTATGTGTATAATTATTTGTTTTACTGGAAAATGTGGGTTTTCTTCTTTTTCCTTGGAAATACTCTATATTCTTAAAAATTCATGAAATTCTTTTTATGGGAGCACACATGACTGCTTTATTAGACCTCATAAGTGTGATACAAATTAGCTTAAGTTGTTGAATTTAAGGCCTAAGAGAAATACCTAAAACTAAATCACGTAAGTGTCAGGATTCAGAAGAAAGACCAATGCCTTCTTTTCTCTGTTTCTCTTTTCTTCCAAATTCAACAACAGCTTTGTGTGGTAATGAATCTTGAGTATATTCCCTGAGGATGAATGTATATAATGTTTTAAGATTCTGGGTCATAAACAGAAGGTTCTCCAGATATTTGCCTGTTATTCCCTAAAGCAATGAAGGCCTTCAGCTGTAGGAGGAAGGAAAGAGAGAAGGTAGTCCACTTACTAATCTTTAATATTTGTAGCCTCACTCTTAAAGTTTTTTTTTTTAACTGAAACTCTTAGTGATCCTTTTTTTTTTTTTAATTTAGTAACCTTTTTTTCAACAATGTTCTCTTTAATACAACGAACACATACAACCTTTTAAGATTGTAGGGGAAAAAACATTGTTTTGCTTTAGTGTGAAGTAATTTTGGCATACAAAGTCTTGTCTTCAACAGCTGTAATTGTATCTGTTAGGATAACTGCTAGTTATAGAAACCCAAAAAATAGTGTTTCTAGGAAGACCAGATGAAGAGGTGCCTAGCTAAGTCAAATCAGCCTGCAGAATTGTGAGAGATAATAAAATGGTCGTTTTAAGATACTAAGATTTGAAGTGGTTTGTTATGCAGCAAGAGCTAACTGATACAGGTGGTTTCTAATACTGTGATAGAACGTGAAGAAAAACCCTCTATTTCTGCAGTGACCAAGGAAATTCGAGAGCACAGTTATGGCTTAGAATAAAGGAAGATAGAAGGGAGAACTTGCAATGAAGGCCAGTGCCCCAGTGATCCAGGTTAGAGGAAGAGATGTTGAACCAGAAATGAAATAGGGAAGCCTGGGAATCATGTTATATATGGGTAGAAAATCATTGCACAAGGCTGAGTCAAGTTGAATTGAATAATAGTATTTCATTTTCTCTAATATCTGTAGCAGAGATTTCTAGTTGCCTACCCAATATCCATCTTGAATTTTTTCCTTACTTGTATAACCATATAAATGTCTATGTGTTTTCTTTTCTTTTCTTTTTTTTTTTTTGGTGGGTGAGGAGTGGAATGTGCTGAATTAGAAGGAGTAGGAGAGCATTTCCCAACCTCTTTCAGATGGAGAGCCTACTGAAGTCATTGGTGGGGCTTTCAGGAAGGCTCATTAAAGAGGGTTGTCAGTTGGCAGCCTCTCTTGCCATTGCTTTTCCTCCTCCTTCCTTCCTGCAATGTGGTTGGTTGTGCAGGCAGGAGCTCTTTGAACTACCTTGTGATCATGAAGTCAAAGACCATACCTTATGGAGGAGTGCATAGCTGGAAGAAGCCTGGGTCCTTGATGACATTGTGGCATCGCTGTCCCTGTCCCAAACCGGTCACTGTTCAACATTTTATTACGTGAGAGAAAAAATGAACCCTCTCTTGGCCTATCTAGGATTTCAAACCAAGCACAATCCAGACTCAGGTGATGACTACTCTTCCCTGACCCCTGGGGGCTGCCCCTGCCTTTTCCACCACATGACCATAGTCTTCGGGGACTAACTTTTTGGACCCTTAAATACCAACATATTGTTTTGAATTCCAGTCAACAGGCTATCGTGTCATGGAACTCTAGCCTGCACTAGCACTGAGTCATACTTGGGTTCCTTTGGGGAACCTAAGGTCAGATAATTTATCCAGGATGCATATCTCTTGTCCCTGGCCACCACTCAACATGAAACCCCCTTGTCATCCACCCTCTCCTACTCTCCTCCCCACACGGGCTCCTTCCTCTGGATACTAACTTCTACTCTTTCTGCCCTCTCCCCCATCACATACACTGCATTGTCTGGTAAACAAACTCCCCTCCATCTTAATTCTGCCAACGACCTCTTCCTTAGCTGAGCTCTCTCCTGGGCGACCTCTCCCCTTGCAGCCTTAGCAAATGAAAGCTGCTCATCCTTCCATGCTGCACACATACAGGGTCCGGTTGAAGGTGGCAGCCTGGTTGCTCCACTCTTGTTCACAATCTCCTATTTCTCTATTTCCATGTAAAAGCCACTTGAGGGTACAGTTAAACAGCTCTACAGTCCTCTCGGCCCTTCGTTGCCATTGTCATCGACCAATGTGACATCTATGCAAATGACCCATCTGATGTCCTAGCCCCACAGTTCTTTGACCTCTATTCCAGTTACCATCATCTCCCTGGTCACTGCACCATGGCCACTACCTTGGACTTGATCATCACCTCTGAACTTGAACTCCAGCATCAAACTGTCTAGTTTATCTGGCTTTCTCTTAATCTCACATTTCTCCTTTGAAAGCTCTGTTCCCTTGACATTTTCATTTTCTTCCCATCTCTTGGCTTCCTATCTTGACTCTCTAATAAAACATAACCTAGATTCTAAGGCCCGCCATCCCTTCAAAGACACTCTTGCCATTGCCCCCCAAGGCCCACGCTCTTGTGTTCTTCCACCATGGCCACCGTACGGAGCCCCAATCTTGATCACCCCACTGCTTTCTTTTCTCTATCCCATCACCAGACTGCTGAGCAGTGTTACAAAAAATGACACATTGTGCAGATTGGTTCTTCAACAAAACTATGATCTTCAACCTTGCACAGACCCCCGAATGCTGCCCAAATTACCACTGAGTGGTGCTTGCCTATTTGCTGGCCTAGACTAGGTAACATTCACAGGACGTCCCACATCCTCCGGCCTCATGGGTTTATATTAACACATTGAAATAACAATGGCACAATTTTTGCCCCCCATTTTTGCCTCCTCTCTGGGGCTGAATGTCAGTGGCTGACTAAAGCACCAAGTTGATTTTGAAAACACATCTGGGCCTTTGTCATAAGCAGGGAGGGGTACTGAATGACACTGGAGTTCTCTGCTCTAGGGGTTGGGAAAAGCCTCCTTGTGGCCAGGGAAGTCTCTCCTGTCCCTCCCTTAAAGACTTCAAGAGACTTCAGGTAGAAAAATCATGCAAGAGACTTTGTATCAACAACTTAAGGTCATGTGTCATTTATGGCCCCAAACAGTATTACCAACCCAGAATTCCACTCCTAGGTATACACTCAATAGAACTGCACAGAAGCACTATTTGTAATGGTCACAGTGGGACCACTCAGATATCCATAATGTCCCTTGTGAGTAGGATGGAAAAATAAACTGTGGTATAGTCATCCAATGAAATACTATCAGTGAGCATGAAGAAACTAATGCTGCCCACAGCAAAACAGATGAATTTTAAAATATGGCATTGATCAAAAGAAACCAGAAAGGACATACTGTGTGGCTCCGGCTACGTAAGCTTCAAGATGAGGCAGGATTAATCTATGCTGGAGAAATTGAGGTTGTGTTTACCCTCTGGGGGGGGGGGTGCTAGGAGGAAGCACGAGGGGGGACATCTGGGGGCCTGGTCATGCTGTTTCTTGATGCTTTTTGGATGGACATGTTCACTTTGTGAAAATCGTTGAGCAGTACACTTAGGATTTGTGCACCAGCATTTCTACATATGGGTTATACTTCAATGAAAATTTACTTTAGAAAGTGAAAGTATTTGCCCGCCCCCTCCCCCCCCCCCCCGAGCTGAGCCTCATCTATCTGACTGTGCCAGTTGACTTGGGACCCCTCTAGTGAATTCAGCTCTCGATACCGGGCAGGCTGTAACTGAAGTTCCACAGAGTCATGTATAATCCAGCCACCAATGACTCTGACACTGGGGATGTCCCCTGGCTTGCCCTCCAGGATACCGATGGACTCCGGACATCAAGCGGGTTGCGGGAGGTCAACGGCATTGGAATTTTGAGGGGGCTGAGGCCTGAGGAAATGTGCCTGATGCTCAGAAAGCCTGAACCCTCTCCTTCCGCAGATCTATTTGGCTTCCTGGACACCCATAAAATTTCTACAGCCCCGTTTCTTATCGCTGTCACTGTCCCTTTACAAATCTTTTTCCTCATGGGTCCAAGCTGCAGTCACACAGCTCTCCTCCTGAAGGTGAGGCACTGGGTGCTCGCATTCAGTTTTTGGACCCTTCTCAGAGCTCTGGCAGTGCCCTCTTGTGACGGCCTACGTGCCCGTGTGTGGCTGCCACCTGGCAAACAGCAGAGAGGGCTGTCTGAAGCATCTCCCGCGCCCGCTTTGCTCCATTTCTCCCTTCCCCCGTGTCCTGTGAACTCATCCCTTTTTCTGGATACCTAGAACCTTCCAATTCAGTGACTCCTGAGATCTCAAAGAATCCAATCTTGCGGACCTTTCATTCTTTCCCATTTACCCGGGTCAACATTTACTTGTCCTCTGTCCCATTCTGTTGGTCTCTGGCAGGTGAAGAGAGGCGACCCTTCTAAGATTAACTCAGGTGTAGGGAATAAAGAGCAGCAAGTGTAACCTTTCTGATATTTGTTCTTTAGAATAGCAGGTTCCAGTGCTTTAATATGAAGGAACGAGTAAGAAGGCAGTTTCAGCACCATCAACGATCAGGGATTCTCTTCGGATGGCCCTCAAATCACACAGCTACATTAAGATGGGGGCTGTGTCAGTTAGAGTTTGCTGGTAGCAAGCAACAGAACCAGACCTCAGCTAACTTATGGCAAAGGGAAGTTATGGTAAGGAAACAGGAGTGTGCAGGTGCATGGGAAGACCAGCAATCCAGCCTTGGAAATGGGCTCCAGGGCTGGAAGCAGAGCTGTGGAAAGAAGCCATTGCTGATCAGCATGCCAACGTTACTGGAATGATCTCTCACCATACTAGTCTCCACACTACTCTGCTCAAAATTCACATTCCAGGGAGGGGTGTGCAATGGGCCCAGCTTGTTCCTGTGGCTGGCCCCTGGCTAGGGCAGATGGCGGCACCCAATTGGCTGTTCAGAAGGTGGGCTGAAAGCTGAGTGGCCCAAACCCACCAAAGTCCACCACCTGGACCCCATTACATAAAAGCTGGCATCGGGTACATGTAATTGCCCCAGCCAGCCTACCAATTCAAGAGATTTACTTTTTTTTTCAAAGATTTTATTTGTTTGAGAGAGAGAATGAGCAGTGGGGAGGGGCAGAGGGAGAGAGAGAGACTCCCTGCTGAGCAGGAAGCCTGACCAGGGCTTGATCCCGGGACCCCGAAATCAGGACTCCAGCCCAAAGCAGACGCTTAACTGACTGAGGCCACCCAGGCGCCCCCAAGAGCCTATTCAATAAATTAGATTTATAGGTGTCGCACTTCGTTCTTGTGACAGAAACAATCTTAAAGCAATAGCCTTTTGAAAATAAAGTCTCTAGTTTTACCATCACTTTGATTTTATTGGACCCTTGCAGGGAAACAATGTGTACAGGTGAGAAGTGCAGGACGCACAAGGCCACTTAATGAATGTTTACTACTTTCACATCAACTGATGTGTGTTAGGGGTGCAATAAATAACTTATCGAATTAATTACTGCGTTCAGTATATCGCATTTTTGGCCAAAGTTTTGTCAACATTCCGCTGAGCAACGTCTTGAATGAGAGCCGAAAGCGTACGCCGTAGAATAGTTCAACAAACTTTGCAGCTGAAAAGCATTACTGGGGGTAGTTTCTTTCAAGTCAGGCCCGGCCGCCAGACCGTCAGCCAGGCCAGGGGCCGTCCCGCAGCCAGCGGCGGAGGCGGATTCGCCGCTCCTAGTCGCCCTGCTCAGACACCATTTACCTAGCACGCATGCGCTGGGGCCCGGGAAAGCGTTCTCTGGTCTGCGGGCTTGGATTGGTTGAGCCTTGGTGGTCCCGCCCCGCGTACCGGAAACTCTCTCTCGACGCGGAGGTCTCCCGAGTTTCCGGGGCTCCTGCGCATCTCGGTGAGCGACGCCCTGGGTTGGGTTCTCCGTTATCTCTGCGCACCGGTGCTCTGAAAAGCCCACCACTGCCCCGGGGGGTGCCCTCGGTGCGTCCTGGGTCGGGTAGGCCCGATCGTGCCCTCGCTCCTCTTCTCCACCCGAAGTCGCCGGGGTGGGCAGATCTTTCGGGACCGCCGCCGCTTCTGGGCTGGGTGCCAGGCTGGCACACGGGGACGGCTTGCAGCAGGCTTCGCTTGTCGCCCTGCCCCACCCTGCGGAACCCGAACCCGGGCCAGAGCGGGCCCTTGGGCTGGTCCCTTCCACTCGCTGCACCTGTGCTGGGGACCGTCCTAACGTGAAAGGGCCCTAGCGCAGTGTTGAGGGGCTGTTGAGAAACTGCGGCCCCCCAACATGTGGCATCAGTTCTCTCCATGGAGGAAGGGCCTCCCTGTGTAGCTGGAGAAGTGTATGTGGCTTATGACCAGAAACAGAATTTCTCTTTGATCTCCCTTCTCCCCGGGGTTTAAGCCAGATGTGGGCAGATGTGTGCAACCTGCCCATATTAGTTAATATTCACGAGCTTTTATATGCATTCAGTCAACAGATATATAGGACCTGCTCTTGCCGGCCCGGTATAAACTCTTTCTGATACGTATTCAGAAGCTGGGGGTATAGGTGTGTGTGTAAGCATTACCCATTTTAGCATATGCTCTAGAACTGTGTTGTCCAATAGGTAGCCACTAGCTACACAGGCTAATGAACACTTGAAATGTTCCTAGTCCTAACTGAGATATATCAAACAGTGAATTCTGGAGAATTAGAATGAAAAAGAGAATGTAAAATATCACTAATTTGTTTTTATCGATTCCATGTTGAAATGGCAGTATTCTGGATACACTGGTTAGGTAAAATGTCTTTAATTTCACCTGTTCATTTTTTAACGCGGTTACTAGAAAATTTTAAATTGTATCTGTGGCTTGCATTATATTTCTGTTGGATAGCACTGCTTTAGAAAGGGGTCAGCAAACTAGGGCCTGCAGCCAAATTCAGCCTGCCTGTCTTTGAAAAAAGATTGATTGGAGCAAAGCCGTACTCATTCTTTTATGTATTGTCTCTGGCTGCTGTGTCTGCCAAAAGAGCAGCGGAGTTGAGTAGTCCCTACAGAGATCGGATGGCCTGCACAGCTGAAAATATTTACTATCCGCCCTTTTACAGGAAAAGTTTGCCGACCCCTTGCTCTAGAACAGCGCCTGGTATGATAGATACATGTCATGTAAATCTTTTCATTATAGTCCTGTGTAATTGTCAGGCTTACTGTGTGACAGGCCTGGTTCTAAGGAGTTTATAAGGACTATCTCATTTATTTCCCATGTTAATCCTAGGATGTGGAATTTCCCCGATTTTGTAGATGAGGAAATGGAGGCCCAGAACGGGCAAGAAACTTACCGAACATGCTCAACACCCCTCACTTCTGTGAACTATACCTTCTTGACCCTCCTTATCCCCAAACGTTTGATTCCTGGAGTCTACTTGATTAGCCCACAGTGGGCACCATGCTCCTGCCTTTATTATTACTATTTTTTATTTTTTTTTTAAAGATTTTATTTATTTATTTATTTGAGACAGAGAGAATGAGAGAGACAGAGAGCACATGAGAGAGGGGAGGGTCAGAGGGAGAAGCAGACTCCCTGCCGAGCAGGGAGCCCGATGCGGGACTCGATCCCGGGACTCCGGGATCATGACCCGAGCCGAAGGCAGTCGCCCAACCAACTGAGCCACCCAGGCGCCCTATTATTACTATTTTTTAATTTTAAATGACTTTTTGAACTAGAATTGAGATGAGGTCGGCTCCCGTGGAAGAAGCTGAGGGGCACTGGGCTTCGGTGCCGTGGGTACAAGCAAGCTGGTCTGTACTGAAAAGAATGAAGCGCACGAGCAGAGAGGAGAGGGAGCACTCTGGATGCTCTTTTCTCATTTAACAAAAAAACACTTGTTGAGTAACAGTAAGCACTGGCCAGGCATGTCTCAGTGCATGAAACAGACATCGTTCTTTTACGGTCTTGTGGGGAAGGCAGACAATAAAACAATTTTTAATGTGATACACACCATGAAAAAAAACCACTGCAACTATTTGATGGTTTTTTGTTTTGTTTTGTTTTGTTTTGTTTTTAACAGATTTCCTCATCTGTAAGTTGGAGATAAGCCATATACCTGACTCGGGCTCATTGTGAGGATGGAGATGACATGAATGTGTATGGCACATGGACTTCAATAAATGTACATTGCCTTCTGCTGTTAAGAGGTAAGGAAGGGAATGAGTCCAGGGCATTGGGTGCATCGTGACACTTAACACACTGCAACCACCAGTTGTCATTGTAGAGAAGGTTCTCAGGTGGGCGGTGCACGGCAGGTGTTTTTAATATTTCCCAATGGGGCTCATCCGGCCGAGTCTAAAAGCAGAGAGGTTCTATGTATTTGGTCTAGGAGCAGGTCCGGAGCTGTCTTCGGGGGGTGGCAGCGTAACTGAGACGGTCCTGCCGCGGCAGGGCCTCGTGCCCGTGTGTACAGGGCAGTGGTGGCAGCTCTGGTTTAAATCAGAGTCACTGGGACAGCTGGGAGGATACCCAGGCCTACCCTCAGGGACTCTGATCGCTTCTGCCTGGGACGAGGCCCTGGCGTTGTTTTTGTTTTTGCTGTTTAATTTCGCCAGCCGATTCAGGTTTATAGTCAGGACGGACAGCCACCCGTGGTGAGAATTAGGCTGGGCCCAGGGAGCTACTGACACAAAGGCACGGAGCTGTGGAATGGGCAGAGCCTGTCGGTGTCAGCGAGGTCATGGAGGGGGGTCACGGAGGAGGCTGGAAGGGGGCCTTTTATCACCTGGCCAAGGGCCTTGGGGCTCCACCCTGAGAGCACAGGGGCACCTCTGAAGGGCTTTAAGTGGGAAGTGGAGGGGATATCTTGGTGAGCTCTGTAGTGGAGGATGATCCCTCTGACAAAGTGCCGTGAATCAGAAGGAACGCAGTGAAGAAGCAGTTAGAACCTGCCAGATGGTAGGAAGCCCAGATTGGGCTCCAGCATTCCTCCTGTGAGTGTCCTCTAGCAGCCGTGTCTATCCTTTGGAGACACCCTGTGTTGTAAGTGGCCACTTTCTTGTCCGTATTCCTTCCAGTGGACTGTCAGCTCCCTCAAGGCAGAGAGGATCTCTTCAGGCTCAGCATCTAATGTGTACTTAGATGTGTAATAAATTATTTATTGAATGAACTCTGTAGAGCTATAAACCGGATACACAACTTTCCTTGTCTTCTTATGGCAATACTCAAAATTTTATATCTCAGTTGCTTTCACAGTATACCCTCCTAGGGCAATAAATGCTTTATATCCACATCATTGTCCCACAGGGGGAACAGAAGGTTTGACAGGATTTAAATGCTGTTAGACATATGGAGGAGGATGGAAAACAGTATGGCGGTTCCTCAGAAAATTGCAGATAGAATTACCATATGACCCAGCAATCCCACTTCTGGATATTTACCCAAAAGCACTGAAAGCAGGGTCCCGAAGAGATATTTGTATACCCATGTTCATAGCAGCGTTTCTTCACAATGGCCAAAAGGTAGAAGCAACCCAAGTGTTTATGATGAATGGATAAGGAACACGTGGTCTATACATACAATGGAATATTAATAATCCAGGACACAGGCTACAACACCAGTGAACTTTGAGGACATTATGCTGAGTGAAATAAGGCAGACACAAAAGGCCAAATACTGTATGATTCCACTTACGTGCAGCACGTAGTCAAATTCATCAAGACAGAAAGTAGAATGATGGTTGCCAGGGGCTGTGGGGCAGAAAGGAACAGGGAGCTGTTGTTTCATGGGTACAAAGTTTGGTTTGCAAGAGGAAAAGTGTTCTGGGAGTTGGTTGCACAACAACGTGAATGTACTTAACACTACTGAACACTGCTTTAAAATGTTTAAGATGGGGAAAAAATGTTTGAGATGGCAAGTCTTATGGTGTGTGTATTTTACCACAATTAGAAATGAAAAAGAAATACAGAGGAGAGGTAAATGAAAGGACATATGAAATAAAGAGCAGAGTGCTTATGCGTGAATACATTAACGTCTGTGGATTTACAGAAGTGAAGAGAAAGTTTTGCTGGTAAGACAGACTGCTGTTCTCATCGTTCTGAAGCTCCGAAGCTATAAAGTCCCCTTCAGACTCTCCTTGAGACTCTGACCGACCGTTGAGAAATTCTGACCTGAGTTAAACATTGCCTAACCTCCCTGTGGGCACTCTAGACCTGTCTCTTACTAACCACCTTGCCAGCATCTGGCAGACTTCAATCCTGATGTCTTCGGTAGCGGTGCCTCTAGAATGGATGAGGAATGCAAGCAAGATGAATATTTCCTCTTTGTTAGGAAACTTCCCAACAAGTTGGGGAGGGTTCAAGTATCTTAAGCAGCTTGAAACCTTATCACGGTGACTTGGCTGCGTGACTTCCTCCAGATGCTAGGATGTCAGGCAGACAATTTTGAGAGAAAGTTCAGCAATGGAGGCCATGTATTTTTAATTTTTCTGCGTTTTTACCTTGCCTCTTCTTTGTTTACTGAGCCTCTGATCCTTAGGAATACCTCCTTCACTGTTTTCAGTCTGGAATTGTAAAAAAGGTAAAACAATGATCTTGAAGTACTGATTCTTGATAATGATAAAAATAGCCTCTTAAGGGCACCTGGGCAGCTCAGTCCGTTCAGCATCTGCCTTCGGCTGGGGTCATGATCCCAGGGTCCTGGCATCGAGCCCCGCGTCGGGCTCCCCGCTCGGCGGG